TGCGTTGCAGCCAAGTCCTTCAGAAACAGGGAACGAAACAAAATCACACAACTCGACACATAAAAGAAGAAACTTGCATCTTGCAACCCAATGTTGCAACATCAACATCAACGGCCCACCAATCCTAGTTTCCCTTCAGTCTACCAGCGTTCAAATGCCCAAGTTGAGGTTGCGCGTTGCGCAAAAGCAATCGCTGGGAAAGCAAGGGTTGGAGAGAACCATCATCTGCGCCAAACCGCTGGGTGACCTCTTAGTTGTGCTTGCAGGAAGCACCAGGAAACTTGTCAAAACGGATCCCGGACACCTCCATCTGTATCAACTTGGCGGTAGCATAAAACTGTGGATGTTCATTTTGGTTTCCCTTCAAAACCGACCTGAAAAGGGAACCCTCAAACGAAACATGCCCATCTGCCCATCTGCACCACCGATTTGGCCCGAGCACCGCCCAACGCGAAACTCGGCTGAGGACCTGGCTCATATCAGTATTATGTCTATTATCCTCGGCACGGGCAGTCAAAACTCTTCTCTACTTTAGTGGGAACTACCACTAAACACTTAAAGGCTAAAAAGCTAGGGGATGGCTGGGAGCCACCAAGTCATGGTTCCATTGGAAACCTTCAGAATGTCCGTGACCAGCGTTAAAAGTCAGCTCAGTGGTGGTTTGGAATGGAAACCACCACTTCCGGCACTCCCCAACGACTGCGCTGTCCCATGTCCAAAATCTCCTTGGTGAAGCAACCACAAAGCAGTAGTTGGGGGTGCTGGGTTCTTCTTGATTTGTTGGCACCCATCAAAAATGGAACCGCTGTCCAGAGCCAAGGGGCAGCCTCACCCCTTTGACAGCTTCCCTCTGCGTACTTGGTGGTTTGGAGGGCAACAGGGGCACATGCGTCAACGGTGCCAAAGTCGCAACCGCCGTTGGGAAACAGCAAACAACGATCCGCAATTCAACACACACACACACACATTTTTCTTGAGGCAAACCCGAGCAGAATATGAGAAGTGAGATCTGGACCCTTGTGACACCTCATGCCGCCCACAAAAGGGGGTCTATGACTGTGACTGCTTGGCACACGAAGCACTACCTCGCGCAAGGCGCCGGACACCCACCCTCCGTTAGCTTCCGAATGATTCCAAATGTGCTGTCCGTGAGAAAGCTTAGACTTGGATATAAAAACGCACGCGATTCCTTGACAAGATGGCCGCGGCAACTCCCATGGAACCTGAAGTTGGGTCGCACGCCCCTCGTTCTGGGAAGTTGGTTTGCATTGATCTAAGGCACAGGCTTTATTATTGGTATCTCAGGTACCACGGCCATGATCTCGTCAATCGGATTGCCTGGGCGGGAAGCTTGACATTCGAGCTTCCTGTTTTGTTTGTTTACCCTAGCCCTGGAGGTCGGACACTGCTTCATTGCTTGATACTCGGTTGCTTTCTGCTCCCCTGCCAACAGTTTAACTTTTAGTGGTCTAATGGAACACCCATTAGCTGGCAAAAAGTTAAAGTCCTAACATCCAGGCAAAATGCACCTCTGCATAGATATATGCCATGTATCTCGTTTTGCTTGCGGGGTAGTTACCTGTTTTGGGGTCGTTACCCTTCCACGGAACCCGCCAAACGGTCGGTCCCTGTTCTATAGCTTCCACGTCAGTGCGGAGGGCACAATGCGCCACAAGCGGAGAGTTCCAGCTCACGCAACAAAAACGCGTGTCTTTTTGAAAATATGTTGCGCTTTTTAGGGCTCAAGGGAAACGAATGGAGAATCACCTACCACCCCCCCCGGCCGTTTTTTGGGGTTCCCGCAAAATAAAAGAAAGACGGACAAATATGACGGCGCATATCATGGTGCTTTTGATCTGAAGGCATCCTGTCGGGTTTAGATCGAACTGTTTCAAGGGAAACCAAAAGGACACCACCGAATTCCTTCGGTCCCCTATTTCGACATACCGAACAAAACTCGCTGAAAAATCCAAAATGCCCCCTTTTACAAGTCCAAGCTCGCACCATGCGCAGACGCCTGGGCAGCCCATTCTTTCCGCGGCCGCAAGCCACTCTGCGCAATGCAACCGAGTGGTTCGTCCCTCTAGTCGAAACTCTAAAAGTCTAAGCTCCAAGTTTCTGCAGACACTGATGCCAGACCATTCCGGCATGTTGAATGCAAACAAGTACCATACTCTCCTCGAGGCAATCAGCGTCTGAAGGGTAGCGACTGAGGCACCGGCGATTCGGAAGACACATCGGCATGGCGTTGAACATATCTTTAATCATCGGGCCTGGCGCCATAGCCCCGACAACTATGGGTTTGTCGTTTTCAGGGGGGGGATCGGTGCTCCTTTTTTGGTTTCCCTCCAAAAAAGGGGTATCCTCAAAAAAAGACACGCCCATATCTCGAGCTCGTGCTGTCCCTTCCTCCACGATTCACATGAGCATGGGACACTTAGATAGCCCCTAGCAGTTGCTCAGTGACATTGCTAAAGAACGAAACCCACTTTTGGGGTTGACAACATTTGACAGGAAACCCATCAACACAAAGAGAAAAACAAGAGCCTCAACAACTATAGCCATTTGTAGCACAGGTTCGCCGCGCATGCCTCGCGCTATCAGTTTGAGTTGCCTGCAAACCTTCGCCCAAATGCCCCCCAAGATCAAAGACTCGAAGCGCAACGGACGAAGAAGATGCCCCTCTGAACGCACTTGGCACCCCGTCCCCTTGAAACTCTTGAAGCACGGGGTCATGGAACTGCCCTTTGAAAACTCCGGGTCCAATCAGTTGGGTTCGTCTCAAAATAGGCAACCCTTAAAATGGGCGGTTTCCTTTTGGTCTTCCTTTAAAAGCAACACCAACAAGGAGTACCCCCCAAAAAAAGGAACACACCCAGCTGGACGCTCCAATGTTTTGCCCCACTTCTCTCGACTACTCGCCTGAATGGGCCGGGGAAAGGCGCAAATGTTGCTTGAGCACTCCAAAGGGCGGCGAGGTGAAGCGTCTGACACAACCCGAAGCTCCGTCTTTGTTTCGAGGCTCGGCACTTGGATGGTCTTGGACGAATCGCTAAATGGTTAGTGACCCTGGTAGGGGAATTGCAACCATGCTAAGTGGGTTACAACCAGGGTTCCCAAGCACTTAGCTAACTCCGAAACCATCTAAGTACCCTTTTTTGGGTGGCTTTGGAGGGGCAAAGCAAAGGGGAAAAACCACGTGGGCCATGTTTGGGGTCCAAGCTGACAAACGACAAAGCACCCGCCTTTCGAGGCAAAGGGTCCTTTCGCCGCCAGTCGCAGTTGAGTCTGTTGGGTTGGCAAAAATGCATCACACTCGCACCCTCCAAGGCTTGTCAGTTGGTACCCACAATGGCTCACACACAGGCAGTTCAGGTACAAATGGACCACCCTTGGAGTGTCCTGGCATACCATCATGTGAGTGTGTCTGTTTTTCAGGGCGGCTGTTCAAAGGATGGTTTTGGGTCCCCTGTCTGAGAAGAAGCCATGTGCTGGAAGCTTGAAGCTGTATGCCATGGCGTGAACTCAGGAAGCCACACAGGCGACCATGAAGCCAGCCACACAGGCGCAACAAATCGAGATCGGCCAACCAAAAACCAATTCAAGTCACCCAGAAAAACAACTAGCACCAAGATGAACCAAGCAACCAAGTGACCAAGCGACCAACAATCTAGCACAAAGGCAAGGAAGCCAGCAAGCAAGCAAGCAAGCAAGCAAGCAAGCAAACAGGCAGGCAAGCAAGAAAGCAAGCAAGCAAGCAAGGAAGCAAGGAAGCAAGGAAGCAAGGAAGCAAGGAAGCAAGGAAGCAAGGAAGCAAGGAAGCAAGGAAGCACGGAAGCAAGGAAGCAAGCAAGCAAGGAAGAAAGGAAGCCAGGAAGCCAGCAAGCGCCAGCACGCCAGCACGCCAGCACGCCAGCACGCCAGCAAGCCAGCAAGCCAGCAAGCCAGCAAGCCAGCAAGCCAGCAAGCCACCCACCCACCCACCCACCCACCCAGCCACCCAGCCAGCCAGCCAGCCAGCCAGCCAGAAAGCCAGCAAGCAAGCAGGCAAGCAAGCAAGCAAGCAAGCAAGCAGAGCAGCCAACCAGCCAAGCAAACAGCCAATCAACATGCCAGCAACCGTCCTGCCAAAAATGAGTGTGCCCTTAGACTCGAGAGGAAGCAAAGAAATCGGCTGATCCTTCAGATCTCAGCTGGAGACACTAGACATAGCCCGAGCTCCCTTTCCGTTGAAACCGCCGCTCAGGCCACCCGTTTTTCATGTCATTAACATGGGCAAGCAGTCATCGAGTGCAGACACGGGCTGGCCTGGGCTGACAGCAATCTCGAGCTTTCATAGACCCTGCGACATCCCTCAAAATCCCACAGTGCTCACTTTCTGAGTGGATCGCCCCAAAACAGCATCCAAGCTTTCTGGTTGCCACTAGAATGGTCTTCCTCAAAAAGCTTAAAATCCAGGAAGTCAGGAAGTAAGAATGATTCATCGACGACGTGAGCAACAACTCTTTCATCAAGCTGGCATGCAAGTTGCATTATTCCCCATGTTAAAGCGCGTGCCAATGAGCTGTGATGGGAACCTTGGATGAAACAATCCAAAAATAAATGAATAGGGTGTCTTTCCCTGGGTTTAGTGGGGATTCATCCTTGAGGGGAACCTTCTCCGAATAGGACAGGTATGTTAATCTGGGGTCATTGGTATGAGGATAAATCTGCAATTCGAATCGCAAATTCGCTTGCTTTCGCAACACCGCTTGACTTATTTAAAGCGTGAACCTAAAGTGGGTCTCATTTGTATGCACCTTTTAGAGGGTCTCTCCGAAATGGTGGTTCGTTTCCGAATCAGGTTGCCAAAAAACGGGTGCACTCAAAAAATGGTCACGCCCAAGACCTCAGGATTTTTCGAAGTAACGGAAGGGGCTGTCTTGTTGTTCGGCCAACATGGGAGCGGCTCCATCTTTGCTGGGAGACAAACACAACTTGTTTTTGTCGAACTGAGGTTCCCAAGAAAAAAGAAAAAAAAACCTTGAAGAAAGGCAAAGCGTGTCATGTGCCCGCCCGCGCAAAGCGTGCATCGCCCGAGTAGCAGCTACTTGCACAACTCAGCCAGCGCTGAATCCTGAGCTGCGAAATACCGAATGCCCTTCCAACAAAAAAAAGAAAACAACCACGGGTGTCCTGACCCGGGAAAGGTTTGGCCTGGAAATTCCAACGTGTACTTATTTCTTGTAGTTTGTGAACTTGACCTAAAATTTTATATTTTCCAGAAAACGCCTAAATTGATAAGTTCTGCACTTTAGGGGCATCAAAGCACTTGCGGTTTGAAGACAGTGACCTTGCAGCATTTTGCAGCCTTGTGGGCCCTGCGTGGGACGCATCCCTTTTTCAGACGGGATTTGCGTGATGCATCAGGGCATCAAGGGATCAAGGCATCAAGCCATCATATTGCGCGGATGCCCATATAGTAGTCGTAGATCTGAAGCATGACATTCCCAGCTCCAAAATGCGCAAAATCCACGCAAATTCGTGAGGGCCCTTGCTACAACTGCTTGAGACCGGTATCGGCGCATTTTGCCGCGCCGACTTTTGCCCGCACAACGCCCGCAAAAACCCGCACCGCAAAAACCCGCAAATGTAATATCCCAGAAAAATCCTTTTTGGGGTATATCCATTTTTTCCCAAATCAGCCTATGGCCCGGCCAATTCAACAAATTTGTGGGTGGCTACTTCAACAAATCAGCCTTGGGCGACGCCGAGGCCTCGCCCAAACTTGGAACACAATGCACAAATGCATGGGCCAGTCCCGAGTTTAGTGAGAACCGGATGGGCTGCAGATTGATAAGGATGCTCAACAGGATGCGCGCATCAGCAGGTGTTAGTGCAAAGGCGCGTGCGGGGAAGGGCCCGAGGGGCAAAAGGAACATGGCACGACTAGATTTCCTGAAGCTCGCCTAGATTTTGCAAAAACGACGAGGAATCCACCAGAACGGATTCCTAAACTTCTAAGCCGGCAAGGAAGAAGTGCGCCAAGGAATGTCCAGATTCAGGGGCAAGAGGGGAGGTTACGTCTCTCCCAAGTGGACATGGGAGGCTGTTCGCCGATTTGGCGGTCTGGGTGCACCGGGAGTCTCAGCTGGCGGCCAGTCGGAAGCCGCCGTGTTCCAGGGCTCTTTGCGCCGCATGGGCGTCGAAGCCCATGTCCTCAGCAAGCTGTGGGTCAAACATAGGTACTAGTTTTTATGTTTTGGTTATATGCTTTATTAGCTACTTTATGTTTGATAAAAACAAAACATATACTTAGAGATTTTATGACCCCTAGAAAAAGGGGTCATAACCCCTTAACTTTGGGTAATGACCAACCATTTCAACGACTCCAGGTAAAAAAAATGATAATTTGCCTTAGCCTGGGGCAACTCTGGACCCAAGGATTTAGCCTCAGCCATAAGACCTCAGGTGAAAGCAAGCTTCACCACTGACATGAAACCTAACAGCTTCCATTTGCAGTCCCCTGGACAAAATACCAATATTGCAAACAAGTTCCCCCCCCCAGTCCTGGGAAGAAATGAGAAAATATGTCCAGTGGTGATAGATTCCCTTGTTATACCAACTGGGGAAAATCCGCCGACCCTCTGCCTCCCGTCCCAGCCTCCTGCAGAGGGGACCGGCGTGGGATGCAACTGGAAGTGATTGGAATCAATGATGGTCCCTGGGGAGCACGCCCAAAAGCACAAAAAGTTGATTCCCAGGACCGGTCCAGGACCGGTCCCGGGACCGGTCCCAGGACCGGTCCTGGTGGGACCGGTCCTGGGACTGGGACCGCTTTGGATCCGGTCCTGGGACTGGGACCGGTACCAGGACCGGGGACCGGTCCTGGGACTGACCGGTCCTGGACCCAGGTTTGGTCCCAGACCGGTGCTGGGACTCTGGACTGGTCCGGCCAGGACCGCTTTCAGGACTGGTCCAAGCCGGTCCCAGGATCGAGTCCTGGTGTGACCGCTGGTATCGGATCCCCACTTCAAACCGCTGCAGAAACCCCTGTTTTCTCCAGTGTCGCTGTTTCCGAACTGGCACCCGTGTTTCAGGACCGGACAGGGTCCCAAGTCCCAGTCCCTCGGTTGAGGGGCACCGACGGCCTTGTTTCTAGGTTCAGCTCAACGTGACTTGGGCGCGGGCCGTGCGGTCATTGACGGACGAGCTGCCGTCCAATACGTCGAGTCAAACCGCGCCAGACTCAGACCAGCCTGCACAGGGTCCCAAGTCCCGGTCCCTGCCGGTGACCGGTCCAGGGCCACTAGGGCCACTGTCGCCGGGGCAGTTTCGGGAGGGCCAGTTTCAGGGCGACCCGGGACAGGCGACTGCTCCCGGGCCGACTTGGGCGCAAGCCGGCCCAAGCGGCAATTAACGGACTAGCTGCCATATTTCTGACTTTTCCGTTAATCCTTGTTTGTGGTCGTAGAAAATCTTATAAGTGGTCCCTGGGTTTGCGGACGTGTTTCAGGACCGGTCCTTGTGACTTTTCCCTTAATGCGCCGAGGGTCGGCGGCAGCAGGCGGGAGCATGGTTAATAAAAAAATAGTCTTGAGCAAATGGAAGGATCCCGTTCGACCGACCCAAGCGGGCCTCCGGCTCATGTGGGTCTGGGACTCGAAAAGCGTGTGTTTCTTGAGGCTGGGTCCGCCAATTGTTTGAATGCTGTGTTATGAAGATTCCAAAAACAAATCAAGCATGTTTTGGGGCGTCCCTGAAACCATGTTATTGTTTGGTTTAAAAGGAAACCAACAGGAACACTGAAGCCCTTTTGGAGGGTCTCAATCCTAAACAAACAAACCGCAACAATTTGATACCCCTGCGGATCACTTGGAAAGTGCTTGAAGACGTCCCAAGAATGCTACAAGTTGCGGAATCTACAGTTGCAGCTAAGATGTCTTCAATATCCAAGAGTAAGCTTCCATGTGAATTGATGTTGCTTCCTTCATAGGATCTACCCAGCTCAAACCAATCAAAGATTGGTTTGGGCAAATCATGCTAGACCCTCTCACTCACAGGACTTCAGTTGGGTAGTTTTTGCAAATTGCTTTAAGTGGTTGAGCCCACATCAGAAATACCATGGGGACTCATGCACAACCTTTTTGGGGGAGTTGGGAGTTCCCCAAACCCGCCAAACCCGCCAAATCCCCCAAATCCTCCAAATCCCTCAAACCGCCCAAAACCCTCCCCAATAAAATATACAAAAACACATATCCCTGTCCCTCATAGAAATAGAAACTCTCCCCAAATATACCAAAAGCAAGAGAAACAAACCCGCACCCCCCCAACTTTTGCTTTTGGGACAGTTGTTGGGGGTTTATGCGATTGGCCTACCGGCAACAAGCTGGCGGGGTGCAGAATCAAGCCAAACTAGGTCCTGCAGTAGAAGGTTAGAATAAGTTGGTACCCATTTGTCTGTAGTCTATTTCAGTAGGGGAACCGAATCTCCCCCAAAAAAGGAACGGTAAACGGGCACCAATTGCTGGGGGACCTAGCAAAACTTGACAAACAAACAAGCGGGGATACGGAGGGAGCGGGGATATGGGGGGATTCCCTTGGCGCCATTCCCCATATCAAACTTAGTCGGGAATCATCCCGCATCCCTGGTTCCCCCGTATCCCTAGTTGGTTTCCCTGACAAAAGACAAGGGCCGAGCGTGAAATCCCTGGTTCCACGGCTTGGTTGACGTTGGAGGGGGAGCAAAATTCTCAAATTTTAGCCGCCAAGTGAGGATTTCAACCACTAAACCACAAAAAGCAAAAATGTTTCCAATGTTTCCCAACGACAACCATGATGGAATGTCCAGAGGAATTTCCCAGGCGACGCGACGCGAGAGGATTCGATTCCCGTCACGGCACCACCAGCTGCGCCAGCGCCAGGTCAGCCGAAGCTTCCGAAGCCGAAGCGGGCGCCGCGTCCGGAGCGATGCCCTGAAGGGATGTGGGGGATCCGGACGCATTATACACCTGGCTGTGGCTCGCCCTGGTAAGTGGAAACCTGGACCGACCAAAACCTGCGGTCTGCCCCTCCTGTTTAATTTTGAGCCACACCCACCTGAATATTGCCTTGTACATGGTGGCTTCCCTTGATTCTGGTGGAAGAAGCCATGTTTCAAATGGGCACAATGTATCTTTTAAGGAGCCCTGTTGGGTGGGTTGGTAGGTTTTTGGGTGGATCTTGCTACCATGCGCAAACAGGACTCCTGGTAGCTCCTTGGCTCTTTCTGTAAAAGAAAATTTGGATACCCGCAGCTCCTTGGCTCCCTTCCACCAGCTAGCTTGAAAGGAACCCTCAAAACAAAATGGGGAAAAAAAGGCATGCTGGATCAGCTTAACCAAACAGAACTCAGGTTGGGAAGTGTATGTATTATTATACATGAGTAATTGCATTGGTTTTTTTAACATATGGGGGCTTAATAAAACAAAACACAAATGAAGGAAAGTGTATTTGAAACAGACACCTAAACACATTATATGTGTGTGTGTTTCTTTTACTTTGGATCTATATAAAGGCACACCCGATGCCTGTTTAAGCCACTTGCCAAGTTGTCTCCCTTGCAGATTAACTTGGGACCCAACGAACCATCTATTTTAGGAACGGAATCTCGTGCTGGGGAAGAGCCCTACCTTTGTAGGTTCCATGTTAATATGCAGGGGAATAGGAAGCTATACCCCCACAACGATACCCCTCCCCAATTTAAAGCAACCTTGGATAGGATAGGCCCTTAGCAAGCCAGAAGAGATAGCCCGCGCCTCTCAGCCCTTAGAGGCCCATGTCCCTTGGGCCGAATTCACTTTCGGCAACGAAGTGGTTGAAGCAACAGGACCTGAGGCGCCACTTGCCTCCCACTCCGTCCATTAAGTCTAGGGCTTGACTGATGACCACGTGCCTGGTGAAAAATGGGTTGACTCCCCATACCAACTTTGTACAGAGATTCTGGGATTTGTTTGGTCACTCACAGCAAGTGACGAACCAAAAAAACCGTGGGCGCATGCAGCTGTTGATTTGATGGACCCTTTCTACGCTCACCGGGTTCTGTTTGTGGCTCAACTGGTTGTAACCCCCCCACCCCACAACCAAAGCGATGTGCGTCATTTACAATCAAACCAGGTACTAATTGGTCCACCCAGCACCATCAAAAGAAGTAACACGGCTGCACTTTCCCATTTATGGCTAGGATTTCCCCCGAATCTTCATCCCGGGTCTTCATCTTTGGCTCACGTGCCCTTCTTTCCCCAGGTCTTGCCTTGGAGGCCGGACTCTGCTCCTGTCGCCAAATCCATCCGTTTTCTTCGCCAAATCTCGGGCGATTCAAAGTTGGATCAACTCACCCAAGAAGATTGGAGGCGCCCTTGACCGTCATTCACAAACCTTTTTGGTTATGGGTTACTCCTTGCCACTGGCTAGGTGACTGGCGGCCGGCCCAACTGTAGTTCACAAATCAGAAATAGCCCCTTATCAGCGGGAAGCTCATTTTTACCCTTAATTTGGAGAATTTGGGCCATTGGGGTGGGAGGAGTTTCATCTAAAACACACTTCTGATGAAGTCCATGTTTGTTGGGGAGGTGGGGGAGGGGGGAGGCTAATCAACCGTCAACCTGCCTTTGAATCGAATGGGCCGGCGCCGGCTGGAACTGTCCACTAGCCTCCTCTTACCCAGCTTCCTTGTTGCGGCTCAAGGAGTTCAGTGTATTGCCGCTGTGGAAGAACACAGTAGACCCCGCGTTGAAGACCACCACTCATTCTTAGCCTCTAGTTGGTGATTTGGATTTCTTGCATGTTCGGCCAGGTTGGTAAGTGGGTAGCCATTTGGGTACCAACAACTTACTAACTTGGCCGAACACCCAAGTAGTACCGAATCTGGATATATTTGGCCGCCCACCCACAGCAGGAAGTCACATGGGCGGCTGTCAAAACAACATTCGACATGTTTTTGTTGGATTACCCTTTAAACGGCGCCGGCGGCATTGCTCGAACAACTACGCTGTTCTCAGATGCTAAAACTGACCTTTGGTGGATGAAATTTGGAAACCCAACCACTAAACCAACTCAAACACCTGAATACCTAAGGACAGCCCAGCCATACCCCCCTTGCCCCCGCACCTCCGACTGACGAATCGCCTCCTTCATCTCAGCATCCTCTCCTAAGTCGCACTGATGACCGGGACAACGCGTTGGTGAAAACGTATTGGAGGGTCCAGGCATCTCTTTGCGGCACATCCTCAAACATGCCTGGTGGACATAAAACCCTCAGGGTATAAAGGAGAACGCAAAAAACACTGCATTATTTTGCCCCCGAAAGAATAGCAGGCTGATATTGACGCTTTGGTAACGGTCCCAGACAGGGAATCAACACCTGGCGAAACTCCCAGCACCCGAAATAGCCGGCCATTGACTCACAAAAGCCACCGCACAAGCCACGTGGCACTTTTGTTCCGGGAACCATTTCACAACTGACAGGCTAACTGGATGTTTCCTTATGCCTGGCACAACAACCCAAATCGAAAAAGCTGGTTTGCCCACTTGGTTGCTCACTCTTCCATGGTTATTTGCTTCTCTGTGTGTGTGGCTTTTAGCTTTTGGTTTCATGACACTGTAAAGTCAAAGTCGGTCTCCCAAACTTGTGTTGCAGGTAACTTATTTTTGTCGTATGTATCAAAATGGTTGCACCCTTCAGAAAAAGTGGTTTCCCTCTGGCTTTCCCTTTAACACTTCCCCAAAAAGGGTACCCTCAAACAAATCACACCCATTTTGACCATTGAAATACTTCCATTTCCCCTTGAAAGAAACATATGTCCAATAGTGGTTGATTCCCTTCACAACAAAAAAGGAGAAACACATATTTTTAAGCAAGTGGAAGAATAAGAGTATGTCTCCACGATTCGCCACCGATATCGCTCGATGCGCGAAACCCCGCGAAGGAATTCAGATTCCGCATGCAGGTTTTCGGGCCGAGCTGCGCAGCGCAGCGGTTGCCTCCTTTAAGGACCTGGCTCGGGCCTCGGCAGGGTGATTTTGTTTTCTGTCTGAAAACATAAACCTCTTTTCCTCTTGGTCTCCCTTTAATTGGTCATGGTGTCCTTCGTCTTGGTCTCCCTTTAAACAAAGGCAAAAAGGATACCGAGGACAACACACATATTTATATAGAATGGAAAATCCGAGCTACTCCAACCAAACATAGTGTGCAAAGATCCAACCATGCAGCCATACAGTTTAGTGGGGATGCAGACCACATTTGGAGGGAACACCCCCTTATTAATAGGACGGGTTCTACTTAGATCCGGGTCAACATTCGCTCAGTGGCCCAAGGGATCGGGAACAAGGTCGATTCGCGTTACACTCCTGAGTAAACATGGGCTACCAAAATGGGCGTGTCACCTTGAGCATCATAAGGAATACTGCCATGTTTTGACCCCGTGACCCAAATGGTGACTGAGATCAACTTGCCCAGCCATGTGGTTGGCCCCTGACGGAAGCAAAAGGGAGGCGGCAAAGCAAACGTGGTTCAAACCCAAGGGTTTTAACAGGGGGTCACTGGATTTCCCAAAAGAAACGATGCAATTCACTGGCGGCTTTCATCGAAACGATCGATCCACTGTTGGTGAACCAAAAAGGGGCATGCAGGATACCCTGGGGCGAAGCCCAAACCTTGATTGGCGTACCTCAATTCCACTAAGCGACAAGTATTCCCTGAGTAGGCATCCATTCTCCGCTTGCAAGCCTTTGATGTGCTTCTTCCCAGCTTGAGCGAATAGTGCAAGTTTATCGCGAATGGCTCGTGTACATCATTGCTGATATATCAGATCAAAGCACATGTAACAGTTGCTTGCAAGTTCGTAGTACATAACCAGCAAATCCAGCGAACGCAAATTGTGTTCCTACTTGCACGAAGTGTTCCGTGTGTCTAGCATCGAGTGCGAAGCACGCTTTCAGCATTTGCTTTGCATTTTGCATAGAATTGTGAGTTCAAATTCCGCCGACCCCATTAGCGGGTTCAGGATCTGGGGCATGGTGATTGTATTGTCGCTTTCTTTTCGGGCAACTTAACTACATTTTGCAAAAGTGTGAAAAACCATGAGTTGCCAGGCAATCAAAAACGCTGGGGGAACTTCCTGGATCTGGGGATAGGGGTCACTCATGTCAGAGCTACAGTCAAAATCAATTGTCTTCGCCAAGGAGGTTTTTACGTAGTTATCGTTTTTGGTGGGGGCCCTATCGTTTTACAGCAATTCTGCGCACGTCTTGCACCACGCTGGTTTTGCGCCCAGGAAGCCTCAAGAGCCTCCAACACGCAAAATTAATCGTTCTGCGGGACAATCGCGGCCCTTTTCTAGCACAAGGCCAGTAGGCAAAGTACACTTCTGCGGCTCCAGCTCGAAAATCGCGACTTTGTAATACAAGTCTTGTACGCGAAGTACAGTCCCGCAGCTCCAGCTGGAAAATCGCAACTTTGTAGTACCCCTAGGCTTCCGAAGGCAATTAAAAGAATGGTCGAGGTCGCTAGACTGTTTTTTTGCCGAAAGACCGTTTTTTGCGCCTGGCCCTGAGTATCCAAAAACCATGGTTTTTTGCCCAAGAATTGCTTAGGGTCAGGTCACTGAAACTCACACCGCCCTCATCCTCCCAGCTGCAAATGACTGCACCCAAGCCACTCATTCCCCGGCTTGCCAATTGTATGGTCGCATCACTTTTCAAAATCGCCCCGCCTACTGTAGAGGCGTGCATAGATTCTTCGCATGTTGGTACTGAAGTCCGGCTTTTGGAAAAATGTTGCAAACTTAGTGGCTTCGGGGCATCGCTGCCGATCAGGCATGCGTTGTGGGCTCCTGGGGGTATTGTTGTCCACGCTTTTAAACGTACTTTCCACGCTTTTAAATGTACTTTCCACGCTAAAAAACGCACTTTCCACGGTTTGTCCATGCTTTGTCCACGCCACATTTTCTTTCAAAAATCGATTAAACAATCAACAAACAACACGCGATCAGACTCTGTGGAGCTGTGGACAAGAAGTGGAAAAGCACGCACGGGCATGTGAGGGACAAGCCAAATTGACAAAGCATGGTGACGCTCCCCTCGCTGGAAGCTTTATCATTGCTTTTAAAACTCGAGTTTGTTTGCAGGTGTCCTTCAGACCTACCCTGCAACATTGACACATTGTGAGGTAAGTAGGGCACTAAGTAGGGCACCCCGCACCCTAATTTCAATTGGGGGTCATTGATCAAAGCACATGAGCCTTTCTGCGGGGAGCATTGGGTTCCCCTTAACTTCCCCTCACTTCCTGAGTGGATTGGCCAAACAAAGTCTTCCGAATTATAAATCAATAGTAAAGTCTAGGAACTCAGGGAGTGCGTGCCTTGCTGGTGCTCAGTAGGGGAATTTTCGGGATGAGGCCTCTCAACCATCCTAAACGTTTTCCTTTCTTCGGGAATCCCAAAATCCGGTTGATTCCCTCTCATGCCCTACTTCTCGCACCGATCGCAAGGCGCTGGAAACTCTTCCCTTCTTGCAACGCTTTCTCACGGATTGACGTCTAACGGGGCTCCGCCCGGCTTGGGCGATCACCTCTTCCATGGGATCCGCCACGGAGCCGTTCAGCTCCCAGGCCTTTGGGCTGAGGAATAGACCCGTTTGGTGCCATCGTTATGTCCAAAAGAGTTCGATACATATATATATATGCCACTAACATGGGCATGTTTTTTGGGGGAGGGGGGGGGGTTGGGCGCTGCTCATGTCAAGTGCAGTCAGCTCAGGTCAGAAGCATGGTGGCCATGGGACAAAAGGGCACTCGACTTCGGTTTGTTTTTAATGGGCAGCCCTTCTAAAAACGCGGAAACAAAAGGCCGCGCTGGGCAAGTGGGTGGATTAGTGGCAGCACTTTATGGTCACATGATTGTGGCTAGACCATGGCTGAAGGGTTGCAATTGGAAAAGGGCACTTGAGGTCAATTGGAACAGCCAAGAAATAGGCCCCGCTTCCGAACATCACCCGGGATGAAAGAACAAACGAGCAAGGGGCCTGCACACCACGCCCAAACAAAACCAGAAAAATCACTGCAATTTACTAGTGGCTTCCATGGAAATTGCTACTTTTGCAGGTCCAAAAAGAGCATCTCTACTCTTGGTATGGTAGCACAAAACTTTGTTTTTTGCAGACCCCCAGTAAAAATGAACAGAACCCAAAAACTAAGAAACCAACAAACATGCCAAGAACAGTGAAGAGAGAAATGAAGGAAACCCTGAAAACTTGCGACATTCGGAGAGAGAGAGAGAGAGAGAGAGAGAGAGAGAGCTGAGGTCAGTACCAGGTAGTCCAGAGATTTCCGAGACCTCAGTCTCCGGGCTTGTCAGTCAGTCCGTGCATGTGCAGGTGCCTGCATGCTTGTGAATGCACGTGCGTGAGTGTGCAAGAAAAAAAACATGAACGATTCTGCGGCAGGAAGCAAAAGCACCATGTTTTGGACTACTCAGCTTAGCTTGGCAGGGGTGACTAGGACGTGGGTGATGTTCTGCAAACTCAAGGAGAACAGAAATCTCATCTGGGCCGTCCTCAGATCCCCGGTGAAATGGAAATCCCCACTAAGCACAAAAAGCAAAAAAGCCAAGGCAATGACTGCGAACCACAAAGTCATGTGGACCAAGGAAAAAAAATGATTGATTTTGCTCGGCTGAAATGCACGTTGATTTGGGCTTGGCTTCGGCGGAGTGTTGGATGGTTTCAGGGTGGGTGCTGGATTGCTTTATGCTTGTTTGGATTGGCTTCAGCATCGACACATATTCAATCCAAACAAACAACTGGTTCTCCTGTACCAATGGAAGTTGTCGGGATTCGACAGATGCCAAGCTGAGACACCCTGAGACTCCCGATGCTGGGTTCCTGTCGGTCAGGGGGCATCATCTTCCTTGGAGGGGTGCTGAGCTCCAAGGCAAGTCCATGAAATTATGCTTTTAATTGAATGATGTGTGACTTTTTGGCTGAGCTTCGCGTTGTAGGTTTCTGGCTGGTGAACACTCTAAACAATAACCACTCTTGACACAAACGAAGATGAAGAAAACAATTAAATCAGAAGCATGATTTAACATAACTAGTAACTAGTTTCACAATGTTGAGCCAATTGCAAGTGTTATCGTTGCTGGATTGTTTGTTATGTTTATGTTCCTCAGCAATGTGTTGGCATTGCTTTTGTTGGAAAGGCAGGACTTATTCCAATAAAACATAGCAACAATGCAAACAGGGAATAACTACCAGCGCTGAAAACCAAGGTAGACATCACCCACGAATGTAACAAACAAACAAAAGAGCACAATGTACATGTGACGCCTTGAAGTGCTGCGCTGAAATGCGGTCCTGTTCGCCCAAAGGACCAGCTTTTGTTTGCCTGTGACCTCAAGGTACCTTTTGGCAGAAACACGCGTCAACAATGCGGGCATGTCTTTTTGAGGCTCGGTTCCCTTCATGAGGTTGTTTCAAGGCAAACCAAAAGGACAACCTTGCTAAATAGTTAGGGGTCCCCACCAATGTGGGTGTGGTTGTCAAAAATAGGGTAACCCCAAAATGGGTTGCCCGATCGGCAAATGGAAAGGACTACACCCTGCGGTGCAATTCCTAGTCTCACTTCCTGGATGGGCCCAAAAAAAGTCTGAACTATTTACTTGCCACTACAGTGGTCTTCCATGTCTTCCCAAAAAGTTAGTAAAGTCCAAAACGGAACTCAGGAGGTGAGTGGTTTAATCTTGACAGGGTTTTGGGCGAAACCACTCGCACGATACGACACGAAAAGGGCTTCCGAGCTCTTCCAAGGCCGCGAAAAGCGCTTCCTCCTCCGTGCCTACGGAAAAGCAGAAGGGGAACCCAACCAAAACTTGGCCCCCGCAAAACTGGGCACTCTTTTCAAGGGTCTCAAAACTTGTGCTGTTTCCTTTTGGCGTTCCTTTACAGAAAACCAAAGCCAATTTGGGGGTCCTCTAAAAAAAGACACCCCATATCATCAACATCACGTTAACAGGTTGCAAAGCTGACCCGTGTGCAGCATCCATGAGATGGGATAGAACAAATGCTCTTAGCGTCCCTTTGCCCCTTGGAAGGGGGATATTGCCTTTCCGCAGCAGGACCAAACCGTTTGGATGGTGTTTGAGAGACCCACTCATTAAACTTGAATTGGTTCAAAATGAAAGGTTTCCCAGGTCCTCCAGTAGAGAGGCTAGAATAAGGGTACCTTTTTTTCTGCAGTCTATTTTAGTGGGGGAACCCTCCCAACATAAGAAACGGTAAAAGGGGGCACCAATCGCTGGGGGACCTAGCTTCATAAATTGTCCGAGTTGGTCGCAAAGGTCGGAAGTTCTGATCCCGGTCTCCCAACTTCGCACATCTCATCGTGACTTCTGCGCGAAGGCGCAGCTAAAAATATGTCGGCGTTCAGGGCTCACCCCCAAAATCCCCAAATATTCTGTTAAGGTCTCGAGCAGTAGGTTGGTTCGCTTCAAGCTTCCGGTAAATAACAGGCCGAAAAGGCCACAGCTCAGGAATCGATGTGGCCAAGCAGTCCCGGAGATTCCGTTTTGAGCGGTGGCAAGATCCGCATCACCGCCCCTCCCGGACTTCGACCTCAATTTGCGTAAGTCCCCTGGAAAAATAAAATAAAAATGATTCCAGTGATAGATTCCCTGTAAAACCAACAGAGGAAAAACAAAAATATTCTTAACCAAATGGAAGTCGATCTGAAAGTGGCCCACCTCCGATCTCCGGCCTGCATGGCGGGCCAAAGCGGACTCCAGGCTGCCGTTCTCGTCAGCTTGCTCGCCTGCGCTTTCTTTGGGCTTGGATTCCCTTCCCTCAAGGGCCACTGGTTTATCTTCTGAGGGACCCCAAACAAAGAAAACATGTTTTGTTTGTTTTGTTTAAGGCGGGAAACGGGTATCACTGGGTGGCCAGGTTTAGGTTGGCCCTCCCTTTAAGACCAACAAGGGAAAATACAACATATTCTTAAGCAAATGGAGGCTGATGTTGGAAACGCGTATCCTCATGTCTTGCCTCGCTCCGTGCTCAGCTCGTCGCTGGAGCCGCTCTCGACCAGAATCGCGCCTTGGCCCAGGGGATCAGACTTAGTGGGGGGTCTGGGGGGATTCCAACTCGGCGCCATTTCCCATAATGTTAGCCCCGGATTAAGCAGAACCACTGGTTGATTAATAGGGGGGTGTTCCCATTGAGTGGGGATTCAGACCACTTTTGGAGGGAACACCCCCCTAATAATGGGATGGGTTTATTCATCCTGGGTCAACATTGTGAAGTTTAGTCAAGGTGCATCAAACGGGGGAATCCTCCCGTATCCCTGGTTCCCGCTGTACTGCTAGTTGGTTTCCCTGAATACTGGCATATTGGCATACAACATTGAAACACACATGACACTGTTTGCACTTGTACAGGCGAAAGCCACACGGCATGGTACAGCAAGATGCAAAGACGTCAGATCCTGGCAACTTGTGGTGGGACCTTCTTGGTCTCCTGTGTTCTTGTCAACTTTCTGAGGGAGTCGCTTCCACTTCGTCGTTTCCTAACTGTGCACATAGGCGGATGGCCTGCATTACCATCAACACCATCATCACCATCACCACCATCACCACACCCACCACAACCAGCACCCAGCCACCACCCACCACCCAAGACCCTCACACATGCAAAAACCCCGCTAGGTCCTCCAGTAGAGAGAATAGAATAAGGGTGCCCTTTTTCCTGTAGTCTATTTTAGTAGGGGAACCAAATCTCCCCCAAAAAAGGAACGGCAAAACGGCACCAATCGCTGGGGGACCGATAGCGCCAGTTCCCAGTTCGGGAGCAACAGGAAGCATTGTCAGAGCCAAGGAATCCATTGGGAGCTGAGGCACGCGCTGGGAGCTTCCTTTGGCTCCTAATGCATGCGCTGGCCCTTGTTTTCGGAGGCTCCAGGTCATTTCCTTTCCTTTTTGATGGGTAGTGTACCCTTTCTTGGGCTTTTGTAGAGAAACCAAACGGAAAGGGTCCATGTCATGTCCTTTCCTTTTTGGAGGGTACCGTACTCTTTTTTGGGCTTCTTTTGTAGAACCAAACGGAAAGTCATAGCCATTTTGGGGGGTCCAACCTAAAAGAAGATGAGCCAGCCATGTAGGTTATGCGCCTTTCAAGGCTCGTTCAGATTGTGCTGGGCCCACTCGATCCCAACAACCTGACTGGGATAAATGTGGATTGCGGTACTGTCCGCTTTCAGGAAGCTTCAGTAAAACAATACGCTCCTTGAAGGATGATGTGCCAGTTCACATGTTGCTTCAAAAACATATTCAACTCGAATGAAGGGTTGCCCAATCCTAATCCATGACTGCGAAAGCTCGCAAAAGAAATCCACTTGTGAGGCCGACAGGGTGGGTCAAGAACCCTTGAGCTGGAGCACTTCCGCACAGAAGAGAACTAGAACCCAATCTCCCAGACCCCACTGGCCATGGCACACAAAATCCGCCGGGCTTTTTGGGTAGATGGTTTTGAGAGGACCAGGGGCCCGGTCACACCCTTACCCGGGTCTGGGGAAATTTCCTGCCTGGACCCTGAAGCTTCCCTCCAAAACGGGATGGGGCGTGACTTCACCCTTTTTTTGACGGGTACCTGGTCCCCCAAAGTTTCACCCAGGCCGATTTGTTTGGGGGCTTAGGCTTGTCCAGGTACGTAGCCACCCCTCCATGACTTCAGGGTGCATATTTTCCTACCCTGAAACCCTTCACCGAGAGGTGTTCACCCATATCCATTTCCAAAGGCTTGGCATACCACTATACAGCCACTGAGGTGTAACCCCGTTTTCCCCTGGAGACAATGGAGCCATCTTGGGGAGGCCGGTGCTACGAGGGTCTTTGGACCCCAATGGCCCCCTTGTCTGCATTTCTACCTCTAATGGGTCAAAAGGGTCCATGGCTCTTCACCTTCAAGAGGCCCGCTTACTGAGGCAGCTGAGCATAAAACAAAGAAGGGCTGACAAAAGGCACAACGGCTCCTAGCAAGGAAACAATCGCAGCCCACAGTGACTGTTATTTAGGTGTGGCACAAACATAGGGGCCCAAAATGGAAACCTGGCAAATGCAAAAGTAGACTAAACCTGTGGTCCCCTGGCTCTTAAAATTGTGAGCCACGATGAATGACAAAAAGGCTATGACTTTCCAATGGCTCTGAATGCGTCTTTGTTTCTGTAAATCCTGTCCTCCTGCGATTGCTCTGGCTCGGACGGCCCCTGGCAGCCAGAAACCGGCGCGCTATACTCGGGCCAAGATTTCGACGATTTCTGGGAGTTTTCACCTTAGCCCCAATTGATGGTGTGGTTTGGTTTGGATGTTAGGAGTACCTTCCCCATGTGTCAAAAGGTAGGGTTCAACTCCCCACACCAGGCAAGGATTATGAAGCTTTCAAAGTCACCAACTGGGTTGCCTCCCCCTTACTTGGGTTGCTTCCTGATTGACCTACCGCTTAATGGCTCGGGCCTGACTTTAGTTTGAGAACAAATGGGGGCCAAATAAACTGATAGGGGACCACCCCAATACCCTGGCAGCATCCGTTGCAACACTTATTAACTCCTTCAATCCACTGATCACCGATTCGATCAGCCTGGCTAGCAGTTAAACTCTTTGGGCCTTGGCTACAAGGTACTACTTTCTTAATACGACCCTAGGTCCAAACCCAATATTTGGTCAGAATTAGGGGTGTGGGGTGGGGGGGAGTAAAAGGGCATAGTCCCAGAGTGCCTTACCTTCTACAACGATTGAGAAACCATGGAGTCTTTCAGGAAAAAGTGGCTAGTCTGCCAACTGGACGAGATTTCTACCTTAACTGAAATGGCTTTGACTATGGCCCGTAGTGAATTGGTGTCTAAAGCGGTCCCGTTGTCAAAAGGAAAGCACTGAGGCGTGTCTGGGTCTCTGACTCTGCGTCCTTGGCTTCACAATAGGAAGGTACCCCGAAGGGTCCCGCAGCAAGGTCGGCCCTTTTGCCGCCCACAAAAAGGGAAACCCCTTCATCGTTGGAGTACTAAGGACCAAAAACAAGTTTAGAGTCTGTGTCCTATTTAGTCCGCCCTTCAAAATAGTTTTCAAGGCGACCTCGTTAAAAGTGAGGAACCTCTCCTAGACGATTTTTCCAGGGGTCAGAAGGCTAATAAGCCTTTGCAATATCAGATACGGTACACAAATTATGCAAAAAGTGGGGGCTCTACCTTTTGTCTTTATCATGATTGCTCTTGGTCTCTCTAAGCCTCTGCCTCTCTCCCTATTCAGAACAGGAAACATGGTGCCCGTCCTCGCTCGGGAAATGCAAGGTCGATGATTTCCTCAGCACTGTGGCGCGCACCCGAAACGCTGAGCAAATGACAGATTATATGTATATAATATACATGATACGCATGTGGAGTAGTGACATTCTATACGGGATGACCATTAAACTGGTGCATCATAACAGCAATGAACGCAACCCAACAAACCACAGCAACTATCAGTGGTATCACTGACCAACAAAAAAACACCAACACGCCCGTGTTTGCGTTCACACTCCAGCTTAACACTACATAGTTTAAGGCCAAACTGCAACACACATATCCAAGGACTGTGCCTGAAGCTGCAAGCTACAGGACAAACGAAAGGCTTCCCTCTCAGACTTCCCTCTCAGATGGTTTGCCTTTGCCCCCGTTGGAAAACAAAGGACTCCAACGAGTGTAGGAGCTTCCTTGCGAGTTTTATGCATTTTCTGGAAACAAAGGTAAGTCGATCAAACTTGGGGGCCCTTCTGAGATTCTGGGGCGTTGAGGGAAACTTACAGTTGGCTGGGTGAACTATAATAATTCCACACCAAAACTCATTCGTTTGTTGATCGCAAAACCTAGGGATGCCCCGATGACCCCCCCCCCTGGTTTTCACTTGTATTTTGCCTTTGCGGGCCTGTAACAAAAAAGCACCAGAGAAGGTTCTCCAGTTGACAGGTGGTATCATCTGTTGTGATTTGTTTACTCGGTTTTCACCCGGGGTTCCCTACAGCGGACAACAAAAGGCGAACACCGCAGGCATAAAGTTGGAGTGGGGGGGTTGCAGCCGAATTGGGACAAACCTCATATGGCGACCAAAACCAGACTGTCCTGCTGTCCCCATCGAAAACCACTGGGAGGCATGCAATTGGAGAGGGGGTTGCAACCGAATACCGGTGTCTCGAGTTCAGCACACACACACACACACGGGGGCCTCTTCTGGAAGAAGCATGTGGGCACATGGATCTATTTTCCCGACTTGGCTCGGCAAATTCGTAAATTCCCCACCCCGGTACCGGGGGGGGGGAGGACGTCTGGGGAAATATTACATTTTCAGACGTCCCCGCCCATTTTGGGACCCTAAGGCGGCGCATTGCACAACGAGGTGCCGCTTCTTCACAGGCTTGGCTGCTCCTGCGGCGCGTGGGGCTAGCGCGAAAGAAGCTTGGAAGGGCCGGGGTCTTTCTTTATCGTTTGCTTGCTTATATGGTTGTATGTATGTATGTATGTATGTATGTATGTATGTATGTATGTATGTATGTATGTATGTATGTATGTATGTATGTATGTATTTATGTATGTATGCTTGTATGCTGGTATGTATGTACGTACGTACGTACGTACGTATGTATGTATGTATGTATGTATTTATGTATGTATGCTTGTATGCTGGTATGTATGTACGTACGTACGTACGTATGTATGTATGTATGTATGTATGTATGCTTGTATGCTTGTATGCTTGTATGTATGTATGTATGTATGTATGTATGTATGTATGTATGTATGTATATATGTATGTATGTATGTATGTATGTATGCATGTATGTGTGTATGCTTGAATGCGTGTATGTATGTATGTATGTATGTATGTATGTATGTATGCTTGTATGTAAGCTTGTATGCTTGTATAATTGTATGTATGTATGTATGTATGTATGTATGTATGTATGTATGTATGTATGTATGTATGTATGTATGCTTGTATGCTTGTATGCTTGTATGTATGTATGTATGTATGTATGTAAGCTTGTATGCTTGTATACTTGTATGTATGTATGTATGTATGTATGTATGTATGTGTTTATGTATGTATGCTTGTATGCTGGTATGTATGTACGTACGTACGTATGTATGTATGTATGTATGTATGTATGCTTGTATGCTTGTATGTATGTATGTATGTATGTATGTAAGCTTGTATGCTTGTATAATTGTATGTATGTATGTATGTATGTATGTATGTATGTATGTATGTATGTATGTATGTATGTATGTATGTATGTATGTATATATGTATGTATGTATGTATGTATGCATGTATGTGTGTATGCTTGAATGCGTGTATGTATGTATGTATGTATGTACGTATGTATGCTTGTATGCATGCATGCATGTATGTATGTATGTGTGTATGTATGTCTGTATGTATGCTTGTATGCTTGTATGTATGTATGCTTGTATGCTTGTATGAATGTATGTATGTATGCATGTATGTATGTATGTATGCTTGTATGCATGCATGCATGCATGTATGTATGTATGTATGCTTGTATGCTTGTATGCTTGTATGCTTGTATGCATGTATGTATGCTTGTATGTATGTATGTAAGTATGTATGCTTGTATGCTTGTATGTATGTATGCTCGTATTCTTGTATGCTTGTATGTATGTATATGTGTAAGTATGTATGCTTGTATGATTGTATGCTTGTATGTATGTATGTATGTATGCTTGTATGCTTGTATGTATGTATGTATGTATGTATGTATGCGTGTATGCTTGTATGTATGTATGTATGTATGTATGCGTGTATGCTTGTATGCTTGTATGCTTGTATGTATGTATGTATGCTTGTATGCTTGTATGCTTGTATGTATGTATGTATGTATGCTTGTATGCTTGTATGTTTGTATGTATGTATGTAGGTATGCTTGTATGCTTGTATGCCTGTATGTCCGTATGTATGTATGTATGTATGCTTGTATGCTTGTATGTATGTATGTATGTATGTATGTATGTATGCTTGTATGCTTGTATGTATGTATGTATGTATGCTTGTATGCGTGTATGCTTGTATGTATGTATGTATGTATGCTTGTATGCTTGTATGCTTGTATGTATGTATGTATGTATGCTTGTATGCTTGTATGCTTGTATGTATGTATGTATGCTTGTATGCTTGTATGTATGTATGTATGTATGCTTGTATGCTTGTATGCTTGTATGTATGTATGTATGCTTGTATGCATGCATGCATGAATGCATGTATGTATGTATGTATGTATGCGTGTATGCATGCATGCATGCATGCATGTATGTATGTATGTATGCTTGTATGCTTGTGTGTATGTATGTATGTATGTATGCTTGTATGCTTGTATGTATGTATGTATGTATGTATGTATGTATGTATGTATGTATGTATGATTGTATTCTTGAATGATTGTATGTATGTATGTATGTATGTATGTATGTATGTATGTATGTATGATTGTATGCTTGTACGCTTGTATGTATGTATGTATGGTTGTATGCTTGTATGCTTGTATGTATGTATGCTTGTATATATGTATGGATGCTTGTATGCTTGTATGCTTGTATGTATGTATGTATGTATGTATGCTTGTATGATTTTATGCTTGTATGTATGTATGTATGTATGTATGTATGCTTGTATGCTTGTATGTATGTATGTATGTATGTATGTATGTATGCTTGTATGCTTGTATGTATGTATGTATGTATGCATGTATGCTTGTATGTATGTATGTATGTATGCTTGTATGCATGCATGCATGCATGCATGTATGTATGTATGTGTGTATGTATGCTTGTATGCTTGTATGTATGTATGATTGTATGCGTGTATGTATGTATGTATGTATGCATGTATCTAAGTATGTATGCTTGTATGCAAGCATGCATGCATGTATGTATGTATGTATGCTTGTATGCTTGTATGTATGTATGTATGTATGTATGTATGTGTGTATGCTTGTATGCATGCATGCATGCATGTATGTATGTATGTATGCTTGTATGCTTGCATGCTTGTATGTACGTATGTATGTATGTATGCTTGTATGCATGCATGCATGAATGCATGTAAGTATGTATGTATGTATGCGTGTATGCATGCATGCATGCATGCATGCATGTATGTATGTATGCTTGTATGCTTGTGTGTATGTATGTATGTATGCTTGTATGCATGCATGCATGCATGTATGTATGTATGTATGCTTGTATGCATGCATGCATGTATGCATGCATGTATGTATGTATGTATGTATGCTTGTATGCATGCATGCATGCATGCATGCATGTATGTATGCATGCGTGCATGCATGCATGTATGTATGTATGTATGCATGTATGTATGCATGCATGCGTGTATGTATGCATGCATGTATGTATGCATGCATGTATGTACGTATGCATGCATGTATGCATGCATTCATGCATGTATTTCTGCATGCATGCATGTATGTATGTAGATGTGTTTCTTTTTTTTTGTTTGCATGTGTGTGAGTGTTTGTGTCTTTATGTGATTGTTTATGTGTGTTTGCATGTGTTTGTTTGCATCACTATGAAGTAAACCATTTTGCCACATTCTCCTTTTGATTTTGAAGGGTTGTTCCCTCGTTTATCCAGTTTTTGGAACGGGCAAACTTATGGACTCACGGATATCTCCCCACACCAGGCGCTCCTTGAGCCCCTTTGTGCTTGGAGTCTGCCTTGTTCGCCTTCAGAAAATCGCCCGACGATCGGAATTGGATCGGAAGAGCACGCGAAGTCTGTGCTGATGGACAAACCTACCATCTCTACTCTTGGTATGGTAGCCAAAAAACTGTGTTTTTTGCAGACCCCCAGTAAAAATGAACAGAACCAAAAAACTAAAAAACCAAAAAACATGCCAAGAACAGTGAAGCTACCTGCGGGGTTCCCTTGGGTTGCTCCCTTCGCGCGCAAAAGCTTGTGATCGACTTTAGGCTCAAAGCTTGTCTCCAAAATGTCCGGTTAAGTCACACCTACTAGAAGAGTCATGCCAAATAGGGGTTCAGCCAAAAAAAAAAACATGTTAAAGGTAAGTCCCTGAGCCACTCAAAATCGAAAGTGGCAACTTCAAACCCGATTGTGTCCACAAACGGAACTGGCGCCTCGTTCTGGCCTCGTTGCCTTCTGATTAACATGGAACCCGGCAAGAAGCGCAACACAATTTCTGAGGAAGCTCCTTTTGGCGAAAGGACCCGAAACCTTTTGGGGTTCTGCGTGCATAGGCTTGCAGTTTGCTGACTGCTGGATGTTGGGAAGGGGGTGGCAGTGGGAAATGATTCTCCCCCTGGCACAATGGGAGCCAAGCCTAATTACTTCCCACAACTCTTAAAAATCAAAGCTTCTATTAAATCATGCATCTCCAAGGGGAGTGGGAGTTGTCCTGGCTAAGCCTAAGCCAAGGATACAGTCTAAGGCGTGGATAGGTGATGGCCTCTCCAAGGGTGGGAGGTCCGAGGTCCATGATTCTCTTGCCACAAGGCTCAAAAGGGGTACCTGGAGTCTCCATGACCCTTAAAAAATGGTGCCATTACCCAAAAAGGGGTTATGACGGTCATGGAGACTCTAGGTACACAGAAAATCATATCTCTTCAGATCCTGTGTTATACTTCGTCCGAATCGTTGGGATGGGAGACCCCAGTATCATTCAGCTTGCCCACGAAAATGTAAGCATAGCAATTGCTGGTGCTCAGCAGGGAATGAGGGAATGACCTCCATGAACCATCCAACTGATAGTTTCCTTTCGGGAATCCCCTTCCGGTTCATTCCATTTCTCATTCCCTACCTATCGCACCAGCAATGCTTAGATTTTGGGGAACCCAGCATTCAGCTTGCCCACGCCGGGCCGCAAGCCATTCGCCCCATACTTGGTCAACAGTGAAAGGGGAGCAAAACATTCAAATCTTAGCAGCTAAGCGGGGACTTCCCACTAAACCACAATAAGCAAACATGTAAAATGTTTCCCATGCAACAACCATGAATGGATGCCAAGAAGGGAAACTGAAGCTTCTTTTAGGCCTTTTTGAACTGAGGACTTTTTGGGCTGCAACTTCCAATTCACAAATAGGGCTGTGGCTCAAAAAACCGGTACCAAAATGGCTTTCCCTGGTAAGTAGAAACATGGAAACCAAAACCTGCGGTTTGCACCTGTTTACTCTTGAGCCACACCCATATCAACCGCTCAAAACCGTTTTGGCATGCCATTTTGGTTGGTAGGTGAATTCACCACCCATTTTACAACCTATTTGAGTGGGGATTGGGATGGACACTCGGGGTAACCCATGACATGTACCTAGGTCCCGTTCGCGCGCGCGCGCGTGGGTTCGGCGCCTGCCGCAGCGCCGGCACTGAGGTCACCGGCACCGGCGGCCCCCCCAGCGGCCGAAAGGCCACCGCCAGCGTGGCCAAGGTCTTGCGCTGCCTCGCCGAAAAATTCTCCGCCCACCGCCGCCCCCCCCCACGCCAAAAAAACAACACGGACAAGACCTCGGTGGCTTTTTGCCCCCCTGCGAAAGTTTTTAACGTTTGGTGGTTTAAGGGAAAACCCCGAAAAAAGAAGAAGGAGGAAAAACAACAAAAACACGAACCAACATTGTTTTCAAACTCGGGAACATAGGTGTCCTTTTAGGGCAAATCGATGGCCCTGGTAGATGATTAAACCACCAGGTAAACTAGGGCCATCCATGCTTCTACCAAATTAACCAAAAAGGATACCTATGCGCGTGAAATACGTCTTCCCAAAAAAGAGGGGCTTTTCGACCCCAAGGAATAGTTGGTGCTCCTTGCTATGCGTTTTAGACCAAGGTGAAAAAGGCACCACGAATTGAATTGGTTTGGAGGTGTTTTTTTTTTTGGGGGGGGCTGTTCTATTTACCCTCAAAGGCAAAGGGGCCAAATCTCCAAACAACCAATACAAACCACCACATTCGGGCAATCTCATGTGTTTCAAGGTCAGAAGCCGCAATCCAAAAGATCAAAGGAGCTTGGCCATCGAAGAGGTAATGCAAAAATGCCCTAAACACAACCCCTAGAGAGGACACTGGCCCCCAAGAGGACAAAACTGTCACACGTGAGATCTGTTCACCCCAACACAGCAAATAACGACCAAAGAGATATATGGACGCATTGCCCTCCTGGGTAAACTTGGAACATATCTCAAGTTTCCGACTAAACTGCCAATCTGCAAAGATCACCTCAGCAAAAGAGACCGTTTGTAGAAAGCTAGAGGAAACTAACTAAACTAACTATGTCTTGGTTTCCCAAGTTTAGCGAGATCAATTTGTAGCCTTGAAAACAGTGCCCCACCAAAAGGAGACCTCGCGCTATTCATCGGCCCCAAATGATTTCGCCCCTTGGTTGCGGGAAAATGGGTAGCCCTTGCTGTGATAAGTTGATAGTTTCACTTCAAAGTGGGATTCCTTTGACGCACAAGATTGAGTGGTCTTCCAGTGATTCGAACCAGCAAAGAATCGAGCTGCTTCTGGTGCTCAGAAACGGCACTGACCTTCCGGGTGTTGGGGATTTCGTTGGAGGAAACCATAGGGGATGGTTTATAGGGGTCATGCCCTCATTCCCTGCTGAGAACAAGCACGTAATTCTGGACGTGACAATACAAACAACAACAAAGCCAGTGTTTCAACACATCGGCGCGAGTTTCTTTTGATCCTCCTTCCAACCATCCAAGAGTTCCTTACACGCCACCCAGGAAGCATAAGTTGCATATATTACCCTCCCCCAGACGATTCCATGGAAGCTCCCGAACGGATTTTTTTGGAAGACTTGGTTCCATTTATAGGATCGGCCAGTCGTGGCAGCTTCCGGCTGTTCTGAGGGAGGACCTCGCGCTTTTGCACTTGGCTCAAGAGCCAAATGGATCGTCGGGGTTCAGAAGGAACATGGGCCGGCGGAGTCCCAGGCTCACAATTGCTCCTTTTCCCCAAAAAGAAGAAGAAGAAGAAGAAGAAGAAGACAAAACAACAACAAAAACAACACCCCAACAAAATACGAAAACAAGAACAAACACACAATAAAAAAAAACAAACAAAAAAAACACTCGCCCCCCCCCTCCTTCTTCCGAATTCTTCCCGCCTGCGTGCCATCAGCTGCCCTGGAAAGAGCTTCCTAGACAGGGTCGGAACTATGGATATCTCCGTTTGCGTCTTTGGACTTCCGGTTTGCACCTGGGGTTTAAAGGGACAGAAGAAGCGCCAATTATGGGGTCCCGCATTTTTTCAAAGCATACCCATCTGCAATTTCTGCGAATCCAACACCTGAACTGAGGGATGGATCCCCAAGTCAAGGACCCACATCATGCTGAACTTCCGAAGCCCTTTGAAACTGTTTCACTTTTTGTTGTCTTCGTTTAGCCGGAGCCAATATGAGAAGCTTAAAATGTTCAGGAGGGACGTCAACCAGTAGTCACTTGCTACCTCTTTCTACCCTTGTCTTTGGAGCAACCCAAGCGGTAAACCCGGGATTGGTCGATTTCCCCGTTCAAAGGCTGGAAGGCGATCCTCAAGCCTCAATCAATCCCTTTGTAGTGGTGTTCCACAAGGGATTACGGATGAGGATTGGCCATCACTTTAAACAGCCCAGAAAAGCTGAACCAGGTGGCTTCGGGCGCTCGCCTGTCCCCAGTCAGAGCGGCTTCTCCGAGGTGGAGAAACTAACCAGTGGCTGCGGGGAAATCGGGTTTTAAGTTCAAGTGACACCAAGTGGTGCCAAGTTCAAGTGCTCATCCAGTGGTTACTTTCTGTGACACCCAGTGAATATCAAAGCGTTCATGCGCTGAAGAGCGCGTAAAGCTTTTTGTGTCACAAACAAACTTTCCGTGGGCTTCCCTTCGTCCAGTCAAGAGGGTGTCTCTCATTGTGAGACGATCCATCTGCCAATTGTATGGCGAGATCACTGGAGCGTCGGTTGCTTCATCCTTTTGCCGTATCATGTCGCATAGCGCCAGTCAAATATCACCAGAGCTCGCTTCAAAACGGCCAAACACCTGCGCAATTCACCCTGTTTGACTGAGGGAGCCAGGCAAATGCGGAAAACACATGAATTCCCTTGACCAAGAAGAGTATACCCGTGAAAACGACACACCCCTACTTGCATGGTCTTGGACTTAGCTAAATGCTAAGTGGGTTACAACCAGGCTTACTAACCACTGAGCTAACTCCCAAACCATCTAAGTATGTGAAACTCTTTGGGTGGCCTTTTTGGCTTGGCTTGAAGGAAGCAAAGGGAATCTTGACGCACACCCATGTGGGCTTGTCTTTGAAAGGGGAAGCCTCAAACAACGTGGTTTCCCTTCGGTTTCCTTTCGGTTTCCGTTTGGCTTCCCTTCGGCTTCCCTTTAAAGTCACCCCGAGTTTAGGCTTCCCAAAAAAAACAGAGACCTGGAGTCTCCATGACCCTTTAAAAATGGGGTCATTACCAAAAATTAAAGGGTTATGACCCCGTTTTCTAGGGGTCAATGGAGTCTCTAGGGAGACACGACACGGCCCCAAAATCAGGGGCTTTCCGCGGCCTGAGTTGCTCGAAGGCCAGCTCCTCAGCGGCTTTCCGCGCCTGCAACATGGGCAACCCATCCTACTACTTCGATGGTATGGGTCAAAATCCAAATCGTACCCCCAGTGAACATCAACCAATCCAACCACTTAAATAGGTTCCAAATGGGTGGTGAATTCACCTACCAACCAAAATGGTACCATTGGTTTTGACCCACAGCCAGATGGTCTTGGAGATATCCAAGTGGTTTGTAAGCCTGGTTGTAACCCACTTAGCACGGTTGTAAGTCCCCTATAACCAGCCCATCTGAGTAGGGGGGTTGCCGACAGCGCGGACCCCCCTCAAAGGACTCTGCGCCTGTTGGGAAAGACCATTGTTTGGAGGTGTTCAAAGGGGGGTGGTGCTGTGTTTTGGGGTGTAGGTAAAGTTCCATGAACAACAGTAAAGCATTCCCACAAGGAGAGACACCTCGATGAAAAACACAAGGGCGCTTTATTCACCTGCGTTCACCAAGAATCATCTTTTCGGCCCCGGACCCTGTGTTGCTTCCTTCCACTTGTGTAGCATGGGCACCTCGAAGATAATGTTTGTTCATATTACAATGGTTTGGCTAGAGCTTCGGCCTCTTGAAAGAAACTGGGCCGCAAATATCACCGTGTGCCTTGGCATCCGCCTGGTTTGCTTGGGACAATGGCCGGTGGCCAAGAGTCTGATACCTTTCAGACACTTCGACCTTGAAACCACTCTTGGCGTTTTGTTTTCTCGTTTCTTTTTTCCCCAACAGCTGAAAGCTTTGGGGTCTCAGCCCAGATAGGCTCCGGGCGTGGTCCGGGGCCCTGACGTAAGGTTCCACGAGGGTTCCACCAGGGTTCCACCAGGGTTCCATCAGGGTTCCACGAGGGCTGCGGGGTGGTGCGAGCACGAAAAGAGCACCGCATGCTGTTGGGGATGGCCAGCGATTTCCCGGTGGCTCCCAGCTACCACTATAGTAGGTAACCAGCCATTGTCCCTATGAATTGCAAAAACCGCTTCCCTTGGTTACCCACTAAGCAGGTAAATAGATCCACTGGGTTGGATAAGTCAAGGGATTGCCTTTTAACTACCCTCAGGAAAATGAAGGGATCCCCAAAACTGAAGCAACCTTCTCTGTTTTTTGGGGGCGGGGACTGCAACTTGACCGAGGATTAATAACCCCTGATTGACTACATCATTTTACAGGCACACCTTTCCTTCTGGGGCCAAACCACTTCAAAAGGTTGATGACTCTGGGGGTGACCTTATTTCTAAACAAGTGAACACATGTTGAATCAGCAAAGGAAGGTATCACATTGATTGCCTGGCACAAGGGGAATAGTACAATTTAAACTGGAGTGTCAAATCTTGGCCCACATCTGTGTTCCATATTCAGTCTACCCCCTGTACTATGCAACATATTTTGGGAGACCCCAGAAGGTAAACATTGAATTTGACCCATGGGTGTTTCTCAAAATGGGATCCGGTCCTCTAAAAAGGCAACGGTTTCCTTTCGATGTCTGTTTAAAACAAACAAAAGAAGCTCAGGTAGTAGTTTGAACAGGAACCGTCTCAACAATGAACCTGTTCTTCAAACCCCCCACAACCGCTCCGTGCGCCCATGGAAACCCTTGCAACCTCCCTCCGGAACCCCCTTTGTCGGAGCTGCTCTGGACCGCGCCGAAGCTTGGAGTCTATCGACCCGCTTAGCTTTCTATCAAACCAACCCGTACCCGGGTACCCTCAAAGGGGAATTTGGGGCCAAGGGCCATACTCGAGCAACCGCGCATCCGCGCATTCGACCTGCCCCTTTCGGCGTCTCTTTTTGTTCGGGCACCCCCAACATGGGCTTGCTTACGGGAAACTGACAGGACATCGCTGATTTTCTGAATTCCCACACTTAAAAGCACGCCTTTTTGCCGGGAAAACCCTAGCAGGCCTGGACCTTTCGCGGGAAACGCCGCGCCGGCTCCGAGCACGTCCGCGTCCGCATCCGCTCGAGCGCGTGCAAGCGCTCGTGCTCGCGCCTGCTTCCTCTCGCGGAGGCTGGCGCCTTCAAAGAGCTTCTGAAGCCCTGGCGCAGGGCTGTGGCAAATGACCACCTGGAGTCTCCACGACCCTTAAAAAATGGGGTCATTACACCCAGAATTAAGGGGTTATGACCCCTTTTTCTAGGGGTCATGGAGACTCTAGGCACTTCTGTGATACAACAAAAGGGGCATCCTAAAAACTAAGTCCTCAGATAAACAGAAAATGCCCTTGTATCCCAGAAGTGGTTGGATAAACCCATTGATCCCACAACCCTGCCCTGGCGCGAGGCTTTGCTCAGGTTGACTCCGCTGGGTCTGTCCCTCCTTTGAGCTTGGACCATCCAAAATGGCTCGCTCCAGTTATGTCCTTTTTGGGTCCAAAAAGAAAAACAGACCAAACAAGGGGTACCCCAAAAAAAAACAGACCCGCACCGACTCGAGTTTGCTCTCCGATGCGGTTAAATGCGAAGAATCTGCAGGACCTGCAGGTTTGGAATAAGGTTTCTGGATGACGAATCCGCTAAAACCACCTTAGCAGAGTTGGCGGGGAAAACGATCGCGCAACCTGCATGCGAAGCTTGCTCGAAAGGCTTCTTCCGTTTTTGTTCGTGCCCGTTTCGGTGGTTAAAGCTACACGGACCTCCCAAGTGCAGAAGTCTTCTTAGATTCTTGGAGGGAGTCTTTGCAAATCCCTACGGAGTTGAAAGGCAAACCATCGAACAAACCCCCCAAGAGGGTTTCCACCCCCAAGCCACCCAAAGGGGTATGAAACCACGGGTCTACGTAGTTGAGGAGTATACATGGGTGTGTCTTTTTTCGGGGACTCTTTTGGGTTGTCCTTTTCAAAACCACGAAAAAGGGGCACCCTCAAAAAACCACACCCAAGTTTCCTTGGAAGTAGCCAGCGACAAGGGAAAGCGACATGAAGCCACCGCTGATGGTTGGCTGTTCTGGGTGTGCGTGTCTCAGTATGTGTCCCTGTGTGTCTGTTTCTCTTCAGTGTGTATCTTGGTTTGTGTCTTTGTCCGTGCGCTGTGCGCGTGTGTTTGTTTTACGTCTGTGCGGCAACCGCTTTACGTTTCGAAGGGGACACCAAAAGGGCCCACTCTTAAGGCTCCCCATCTAAAGATTTTGGCGGAAAACCAAATGGATCTTCACACACGTCTGCCACCACTCAAAAGCCCCCAGGCACACAGAAACCTTTAAGGCAAGAGGTGCGTGTAAGAAGAGAAACAACTCAGGCAAGCGATTCCTGCCTTCTTCATATCCGAAGCAGCGGGTGATGCCAGTGTACATTCTGTATCTCAACACCACCTTGTCCTGGCGCCAACTGTCTTAGCCAAGTCTTAGCCCTATCCTACCGGCAAACAAGTCAAACCTCACCGGATACGTCCACTTTTCACAAGCAGCCAGTGGACATGTTATCCCATTTAATTTGGAAAGGGTGGCTTCCCGTACCTAGCTATGGCAGCTGGAGGCGCTGGAAAGATCCAAAAGGAACTTCAACGCCGTCCGTCGGAACAACACGCTAGACCGACACGGCTCCCTTCACTTCACCCAAGACATTCACCAATGCCAGCCCATGCATAGACAGCCACATGGCAGTGGGTTTGCAGAGATCCAGAGCTAAGGATGAGTCGAAATGCATGTTTCTACCTGCCCTAAAGCCAACGCGAAAGCTCTTGATAAGAATGCCCCTAGTTTAATTGCTTTGCACAAGCCCTGACAAACGGCTGGGGAGTGTCACAATGAGAGCTTCTTAGGGTTGAGGTCTGAGCTCCCAGCGGCAAACACCCAAACAGCACAAGAGATGATAAAAGTGACCCCGAATGAGGTGGTCTGTGGCCTGACCACCAGAAGAGGTGAGGCGGGAACCCCCCTCCAGGTCATCTTGGCGTTCCCTCAATAGGCATCCTTCTGGTGGTCTAAGGTTAAATTGTTCATGATCTTAAAGGGTCCAGGACCCAAGTGAGCAGTGCGCAACAACCCATCGACGCCATAAGACCAGGCAGGACCTGCCAAGTTTTGGCCCTTTCGTAGTTGGGCTGGACCCCTCTGGGTTGGTTGCCCTGTATCCCTTACCCACTCTGACCGCGGATACGTCCCCTGGAAAAATAACTTCACAGCCTTTGGTATGGTAGCACAAAACTGACGGTGTTGTTGCAGCCCCCTACTAAAAATTCACAGAACCAAAAAACTAAAGAACCCAAAAACATGCCAAGAACAGTGAAGAACAAGCATATGCCCTGTGATAGATTCCCATATTCTTCGGCAAATCGAAGCCAACAGTGGCAGGGTTCCTCGCATGTCACCAAAGGAACATCACCCGGTCCCACTGGAAACTGCCAAGCACAAAACATTCCTACCCACAAAAAGCTGACTGGAGGCACCAAAGGAAGATACTTGGGGGACCTAGGTTTTGGTCGGCCACCAAAAAATTGAAATGTTCGGATTTCCCATAGGAAACATGTTTCCTACCGGACCAGCCACGCTTTAACCCGGTCAACAACCCCATGGTTTCAAAATTAAAGGGATGTCCGGGGTTGGGCATGTGTTTATACGACAGGACACCCTGGCTATCTTAAGCCGAACTGTCAGTTGGCCAAGCAACGAATATCGGCGCGACTTTTTAAGGGTCTCCCAAAGATGTCAAATTGTTTTTTTTCCCTGTTGGTTTCCCAAAACAAAAACACCAAAAAGGGGAAGTGCCCTTCAAACATACACCCCCCCCTTAGGTCTGCAAACATGTTGCAACACGGTCGGTTGGCCCGGGATGGGTGTCATAACCCCAATGCCCAACCCCCCCCCCCCCAGTCCGGGCGCCTCTTTGAAGAACCTGTGGAAATCGGCTTCGACCAGTTCCAGCAGAAGCGGCACTCTTTTGCAGACATAGCTTGCTTAAGCAATTGTTGGGGTGTGTGTCAACATAGGAGACCCCGTTCAAAATGATGGCGTTCTTGGTGTTTCGATTTCAACCCACCCAGACATTGACACCATCAAAACACACACACACACACATTTGGAGGAAACCACATGGGGGGTATCTCTTCTCCATCTCTCAATGAGAACACTGAGAACCAGTCCGCACATCGCCCCCCAAACTTTGGGCAAGGAAAGCGGAAGGTTTCAGATCCACAAAGTGACCTTCCAATCCCAAGAGTTCAAGGCTTTTCAGCTTCTCCGATGTGACAATGTGAGTGTGCGTGCGTGCGTGCGTGCGTGCGTGCGTGCGTGCGTGCGTGCGTGCGTGCGTGCGTGCGTGCGTGCGTGCGTGCGTGCGTGCGTGCGTGCGTGCGTGCGTGCGTGCGTGCGTGCGTGCGTGCGTGCGTGCGTGCGTGCGTGCGTGCGTGCGTGCGTGCGTGCGTGCGTGCGTGCGTGCGTGCGTGCGTGCGTGCGTGCGTGCGTGCGTGCGTGGCGTGCGTGCGTGCGTGCGTGCGTGGGTGTGTGCGTGTGTGTGTGTGTGTGTGTGTCAGAAAATCGGGGACCACTCTTTGGTTTGTGGCCTTTCCTTCGGGTTGCCACAAAACCAGGCAGCTCGCCCGCCAAAGTCTTGCCGCCGAACATGGAAGCCCGTTCAGGGCCTACGATAGAATCCTGGGATGCACTTATAGCTGAGCTGGGCACTTCTCAAGTTGATCCAAAAGGCAAGCTGGCTGACAAGGAAAAGGTTGGGCCAACCACATGCTTTCTCTCTTCTTTTAATTAACTATGTTCGAGGCACTCTTCACAGAAGCTCCCGGCTTTCCTTAACGTCATCACAATGGTTTTGGTGTACAAAGAGCCTTGCATCCCCTTTGGGGGCCCGGGCCGTAGGGAGCGCTCTGCATCCTGTGCAAAACAGCCGGGTGTGGGCCAAGCCGGCCTTGTGCAAAACAAATGGCTGTGCCAAATAACTGGACCCAAACTATCCAACTTTAACCAACTGACCGTTAAAGAAAAGATAGCACATGGATTCCACTGGTGAAAGCATCAGGATTCAAACAAAATGGTCGCAAGGACACCTTTGGACATGTGTTGGTCGCTTTTAAAGGGAATGGACCCCCGCAGAATGTTTGCATTCTTGGCCCCGGTGTGACCGCATTGGTGAAGTCACCATGTACACATTGGCCCCATGCCTCTCGGGATGTGGGTAAACATCCCATGTCTGGGAACACCCCCCGGCCTGGGCTGCCAAAAGTCTAACCTCTAGTGGATTAACAAAACCCAACCACTAGACCAACCAAAAGCCCAAAAACCTAACCGGATGGCTGGGGGTTTCGCCCAGGAAAATCAGCCTTTTTTCTGCAATACCGAACTGGAACTCCCATCCTCACGACTAAGCGTATCACAGAAAGTGGTCGCCTTCTTTAGGCGTGCAGCTTGCTCACAAGCTGCAGGTCTAGGAAAGGAATTCAGAGCAAAACCCTCCATTTGCTGAAGTCCCATGGAATGCGAAAATATGTCCAGCAGCCATAGAATCCCGGAAAAACCATAAAACCAACAGGGGAAAACAAAACAGATTCTTAAGCAAGTGGAAGAAAAAACACCTGCCCCGTTTTGGACCCCCAAACACAATCCTGACACAAATTTTAGCTCGAGGGAAGCAACCGAAAGTTCTTAGCCTTACCCTTCCCTATCGCACATACCCACTTGGAGACCCCAGAGAGGTGCAACCTGGGTCTAACCCTTCACAACCCTTGGTATGGGCTTGCAAAAAGAAGCAGAAACAAGAGAAAGACAAGCTTTTCCGACCCCCTACTTTAAAATGAAAAAAAAAAAAACGGGGAAAAGACAACAAAACAATTTCCGACCCACCTACTAAAAATGAACAAAACAAAATAAAACAAACATAGATCCAAGAACAGAATGGTGAACCCATCTGTCCGATTCCAAGCGATGCCTCCGCGGTATCGGAGACCACTGGCAGAAGCGCCTCCTTGTGGCGGTTCAGGAAGCCGTAGCCTCAGCTGCCATTGTGTTTTTTTGGGTTTTGTTTTGTTTTGTGTTTGTGTTTTTTTGGTGTTTCTGTGATTTTTGGGTGTGTGTTGGGTGCTTGTTTTGATGGTTTCTTGCTTGTTAGTCTCTTGGTGCGACGGGTATGGAACCCGGGGGTCGCCGAATAATGCAAACCACCAGTGGGACGCCTTATCGGGCCATTCTAAGAAGTAGGAAAAGCTGATGCCTTGGCTTTCCCGAAGCAGATCCAAACCATGGAGGGTCCAGTGATGCATAGGGTTCCACAAAACCAGACGCAATCTTTTGCTAAAAGGACAACTTGTGGGATATTTCATAAATGCCCAACTCTATTGGTTGTGTTTTTTCGGCCCCTCTGCAAGAAGTGAATCACTTTTCGCGGGCTTAATACGGAAAACCCAACTTGATTTCAACCAAACATTTTAAAGTCTAACGATCCAACCCAACAGCAGTGGAGATAAGTAGGGAATGTGGCAATGCACCGTTCCGGCTTTGGTCCCCGAGAGGAAACCCACCAGCTGGATGCTTCATCTTGGGGCCATTCCACTTCTCATTCCCTGAGACGCAAGCTT